GTTTCTCTGCTGTTCATTTCATAACCGTTTCTAACCGATACGGTTTTCCGGTAGATGACAACACTATGTTCGAATTCTTGTGCTCTATCTCTGATCTTTTTTTTGCGACAGTTGCATTTGGTTTTCTGGTTTGGCGCACAACGAACGTTGTTCTTAGGTTTCTATTTTCTGAAACCCGACAACGACAATTTCAGCTACTTCAGCTAGAGTTCAGCTTCTGTTCTGCACCCCGCACAATCTTCCTCGCACTTTGAGGTAAGGCCAATAGATACAATTCTATACTCTATGTGCTTTCCAAAATTAATATCGTGTTTATTTTTTTTGGATTGCTCACGTATTACGTAATTTTCATTGAGCAGAGAAAAAAAAAAGAACGCGAGTTATGTAAAAATTAAAAAATAATGTATGGGGCATGTGCTCAATACTCAAGATCAATGCCAATGCTACGAAGTGTTCGATAATAGATTGAAAGAATGAAAAAAAGTGGAAAAGAACATTTCGAAAATGTTTAGCATTTGGTCGAGTCCTCTTTACATGTTTTCTGAAATATCTCTAGTCGATTACATCATGATCTTTTAACCTCAACCCATCCACAGCATCCTCGCTAGCCAACATGTTCAAATCCCTGTTCGAGGCCGCTCAGAACTCAACGTTCAAGTCGCCATTCACCAGTGCTAACTGCCAGGCTGCTTCAGCGCCCGCACCCCCGTCAGCTCTCCTGCCCTCGGCCAACGATGGAGCTGCCCGCCAGCTGAGCCCAAATCACAATTTCGCTGCCGCCGCTGCTGCTCAGGGTGGTAAGTGGGGATCAGGAGCACATTGATTTATTTCTAATCCTCTTACTCCTCCGTTCTTTAGATTCCTGCGAATTTGGCTCCAATCACTATTTCGTGCTATGCGGCTTGGGTGGCATCATCTCGTGCGGTACCACGCACACAATGGTGGTGCCTCTCGATCTGGTCAAGTGCCGCCTGCAGGTGGATCCGGCCAAGTACAAGAGTGTGGTGAATGGCTTCCGTGTCAGTTTGGCTGAGGAAGGCGTCAGGGGCTTGGCCAAGGGCTGGGCGCCCACCTTCATTGGCTACTCGATGCAGGGTCTGTGCAAGTTCGGTCTATACGAGGTCTTCAAAGTCATCTATTCCAATGCCATTGGCGAGGAGAATGCCTTCCTGTACAGAACCAGCCTCTACTTGGCCGCCTCGGCCTCGGCTGAATTCTTTGCGGATATTGCGCTGGCGCCCATGGAAGCCGCCAAGGTCAAGATACAGACAACGCCCGGATTTGCCAAGACGCTGCGTGAGGCGTTGCCCAAGATGACCGCACAGGAGGGCATTTCGGCCTTCTACAAGGGTCTGGTGCCACTCTGGATGCGACAGATTCCATACACCATGATGAAGTTCGCCTGCTTCGAGCGCACCCTGGAGCTGCTCTACAAGTATGTGGTGCCCAAGCCACGTGCCGACTGCAGCAAGGGCGAACAGCTGGTTGTCACCTTCGCTGCTGGTTACATTGCTGGCGTGTTCTGCGCCATTGTCTCCCATCCCGCAGATACGGTCGTCTCCAAGCTGAACCAGGCCAAGGGCGCCAGCGCTCTTGATGTGGCCAAACAATTGGGCTGGGTTGGTGAGTAATTGATGATTGATGATGATCCTCTCGAGAATTTAGGTTTACTCAACATTTTCATTGCTTAACAGGTCTGTGGGGCGGTCTGATGCCTAGGATTGTCATGATTGGCACACTCACTGCCGCTCAATGGTTCATTTATGATGCTGTCAAGGTCTTCCTGCGCATGCCACGCCCACCACCACCAGAGATGCCCGAATCGCTGAAGAAGAAGCTGGGCGTGACTGGGGAGCAGTAAGAAGCAATGTGTAGAAGTTAACCCGCTTTAAATATACATATATACATACAGTAAATAGTGCAAAACAGATTATATTGACCGATTTAATGCGAATTGTATAGAAAACAAGATAAAGTAAATAAACATACCAAAAACTTAAACATTTATTCCTATGAGAAATCATTTAATGTGTTTGAGGGAAATTCAATGATTGGCATATAAAATATACTATTAAATGAATGTCTATAATATTTAAACTAAAAATATAAAAAAAAAAACAAGTATAAAATAGGTATTATTTTAAAATATATTTATATTTTGTTTTGTCTACATTTCATTTGGAAATTTGAATGCCCGCGCTTTAATACTTTAGCAGGGCTGCAGTGAATTGCATAAATCTGGTCACCCTGGCGGGCAGCAGCTTTTGGCGCGCCTTTTGAATTGCATGAATGCTGAAATAAAAAAGAAATTTTAAGTGTCGTTGAAAAAATACATAAATAATACTTAGTTATTTTTATTTTAACAAATTTTTAATTATTGATAATAATGTAAATATAAAACGGAAATTATTGAACAAAATTTAGAAACTATAATTATGCATATATTTTTATAAATAAACAAAACTCAGACATCTTAATAAACCAAAGTTAATAAACCTTAGCTTTAATTGGCTAACAAATTATATAAAATGTAAATATAGATTTTATAAATATAAAAACAAAATTCGTCCATTAATCATAGTGTAATTAATTTATGTATATTAATGATGTTGCTAATTAAAGTATATTTAATGCGGAACAAGCCCAAATTTTTTATTCCCACCTGCGGTGAGATATATTTAATAAAAATAAAAAAATAGACGTGGAGTATTTAAGCAACAGTTATATGCAAGATTCTACTTCCGTAATATGTATTTATTTTAGCATTTATCTTTTTTTTATTTTGAGCAGAGATAAATTTAATCAAATTCTTTTCATTTTAATGATTATTTTGTAGCATTGTTTTAAATTTCTATACTTTATAGTTACAGTTAGACAACGGATATACATACATATGTATGTACCTGTAAGTGTGTAAAATATATTTGTGATTTGAACCCCTGCCAATTATGGCAAGGTCAATGATCGATTGTGATTTAATTTTGATGGCTTACGTGTTTACAGATGTGCTCTATGTATGTCAGACGAGGCAGGGAGTTACGTGCATGCCATGCCAAATATTAGCTCAATATTGTAAATGAATTGATATAAAACTGCGTGGATTTCAAGTCTTGCATTTCAGTTACAAATGCAAGTTACAATAAAATGCTGCTAAAGGTATGTTGCAATAGGAGAGTAAGTTTTGCAAAGACTTTTCATACATATGTCTGTTTTAAAGGTAATTTTGGTAATCGCTTCAATCGCTGGCATTTCTGCCGAGTCCCCTGTGCGGGCGCCATATGCACCTGCTGGCTGGCGTCCTCGCGTGCCATTTGGATTGCCCAACAATCTGGAGTCCAGCTTTGAGATCAGCAGGCAACGTGTTGATTATGCTGGCACTTTTAATGAACCTCGGCTCGATTCCAACTATTTGCCACCAAACACCGAGTCTTACGATGCGGGGCAACAGGTTCCAGTGTCCAAGCAGGTGGATGCCGAGACAACGCCTTCACCACAATACGGCGCTCCAACTGATGCCCCATTTCGCATAGACTATCCCGATGAGGAAGTCTCTGCCCCAGCCACAGATTTGCAATCGAATCGGCGATCGAATATTCAAGAGGGTCGCTACTATATAGTCTCGGACGATAAGAAACTACAGCGCGTGCTCTATCGCACGGTTCAAAGCCCCGGAGATGAGCTGACAGCACAGCTGAGGTACTCGCCAGTGGGTAAGCTGCAGGATCCCGTTTATAAATACAATCGTCAGGGGCAATTGGAGCGGGTGCTGAAGTAAAGGTCATGAGAACTAAGATTACTTCACAACAAATTCATTATTATTGAAATATAATGAATGGCAAAGCTTTATCAATGTTATTCAAGCTTACTTTAACAATAAATGAATTATGATATTATTAATGATCTATGGATTGTCAGCTTTTTCAATAAGAACTCAATTTGTTATTTACTTTGTTTTATACAAAAATGCTTTCTTTATTCATTTATCATTATTTATACACAAAAGAATCTCATTTGTCTTCGTACACATTTTTCCATTCGAGAGTGTAATCCAATGCATTTCTCATCAGAATTCGTTTAAAACTAAATACAATGCTTATGTATATGTATGTATGGATGCGTGTGATGGTCACAATGTATGTGTGTGTGTTTCGGTTGGTTGTGTGTGTGTGTGTGTGTGTTTGTTCTGTTGTGAAACGACACAAAATGAAGGCGCTTAACAAAACGAAACGGCAAAAGTCGATGGAACAGGCATAGGCTGGCATAGCTGGAACAAGTGGAACGGCTGGACATTGGAATGCGCCTGGCTATGGCAATATGGCGGCATTCCACAGAAGAGAGGGAGGGAGACAGCAATAGTGATAGTAGTGGCGCATGTGGATGATAGCGTGTGGACAGAGAGAGAGTCTCGCATGACGACGAAGCCAGTGCATGCCAAACTGTGATGCATTTAATACTTAGCTCGGTTAGCGATAATAATAATAATAATAATATAGATAAAAAACAATGTTCATAGACAAGTTAGCCTATAGAGAGTTAGAGGGTCGACCTAAACTGGAAACACTAGACGGCACACTCAGCCTCCTTACTGATAACCATTGAATTTGCCCTGTTGCGCATTGCTGTCATAGCCACCGTTGCCATTGCGTCCGTTGCCATTGCCGTTGCCGTTGCCCACCTGCTCGTAGCGAATGGTTGGACGGTAGCCATTCTGGTCGGCCTCGTACTCGACGATCTGCTTGCGGCCATCGGGCAGCAGGACGTAGTAGCGGCCAACGGCCAAATCGCCATCGCGCGACTCCATGTGGCCGAAATCGTTGCCGGACTCGTAATCCTGCACATCATATTTGAATTCGTATTTCGCTGGGCCGTACTGCTCCTCGTCGCGCTGGCCGTAGCCGGCGTTGCCGTTGCCGTTGCCGCCGCCATAGCCGCCGTTGCCGCCGCCGTTCTGTCCCTTGAAGATGGCGCCGGTCAGAGCAGGTGCGCCATACTGGCTCTGGGGCAGAGGTGCGCCGTAGCTGTTGCTGGGTGCCGAGCCGCCGCCGCCGCCGCCGCGCTGAGGAGGCAGATAGTTGTTGGCGGGCGACTGATAGGTCTGTGTGGGCGGCAGATAGTTGTTGGAGGGCGCCTGGGGCGACTGGTTGGGTGGCAGATACTGGTTCTGGACTGGTGGCTCCGCTTGCGTCCAGGCGGCCAGGCAGACGAGCATTGCGATCGTTGTAAAGCACTGCGAAAGAG